GTTAATTTTTCCCCCCATAGGTTTTTAACATTCTAAAAGCTCTTTATTCCAAAGATACTACAAGCTAGTCAGTGTATTCAGTAGGTGTAATGTATTGTAAGTTGCTTCAGAAGTATTGCAAGTATTACGTACAACAATAAAACAGTGCATTGACATAAAAAAGGAAATTTACTTTTGGTACTTAAGTACTTTTAAAAGCAAGTACTTCTGTACTTTTACTTAAGTAAAAATCTGTCTTTACAACTTTTACTTGTAATGGAGCAATATTTGACCAGCAGTATCTGTACATTCACTCAAGTAATGGAGTTGAGTACTTTGTCCGCCTCTGGAATCAATCCATCACTGGAACAAGATTTCTATACACATGAAGCCAAAACTGAACCCACGAAAAAGAAATAAAAGCTCAGAACGCATCTGTCATGTGCTAAAGGCCATGCTAGCACAACAAGACCTACGTATTCTTCAGAGGTTATTAAGTATCATTTTTCTCATTCTGCATATCAGGATGTAATAATATCCCTCCCCGCCCTCTTAACTATACTGCCCTTGATTCCAGCAAATGGCAATGAAAATTTCAGGTGGAAGTCAGTCTTGTTTGAGGGGTGTCACGGCCCAATCCATCATAAGACGTGTCACAGCTGCCAGGATATTGAAATGCCCACCAGCGACTTTAAGAAATCATCTCTGAATCTATTTTTCGCTTTTACCTCTTGGAATGTTATCCTCAAGCACCAGGCTACAGGAAGAGCATTTAACATGCACAGCTAATGAGCTGCTCAAGATGAAAACTATCATGTTCAAGCAGGAGTGAAAATAATGACTCCAGTGGGTGGGGATAGCATTTTGTCGACAGCTCTGAAAACAGCAGCATTTACAGGTAAGATCACAGCAGATGCATTAAATCTGATCCCAGACCTGCTCTAAACTCGGGAACAATGACATAAACGACGTTCGCAGTGGGGCTGCATTCAAACATTGTTTGAAAATGCATGGGTGGCCTGTGGTAAACGGTTTCGTTGAGACATTTCTCAGAGAGTCTCATTTGCCACAATACCACCCTCAGCACTTCAGCAGTGCCAAAGAACATGCTGAGATATTGGAGCTATTGTGTGAAATACTCCCGCTTCCCTTTTCAGGACCAACCGCTTGGGTCAGGCGCTTCTTGCTTCACAATCAGCAGCCGTTACAAACCCTGCTGCCGCTCCCGACGGCGTGGGCACTTAACCTGAATCCCTCCAGCTGTGTAAGTGGCTCCAGCTGTCCTGAAGTCCTGGCAGACACAAGCTTCTTCCAGCCAGGCAAAATGGAGGCTGGATCCACGCCAGGCTGCCCCAGAACCTCAGTCACCACTCGCTTTGCTTTTATGAAGACCATGGTTGTGAGACTTTCCCACATTTACACAGCGAATGGTAACCCACCTATACAGTGGATTTGAGTTTAAAAAATCTCAACATTTTGTTTATATGGATTTATATAATGCAAAACTGTCTTCCTGTTGCCCTGTGCACAGCCATGTCAATGTGAAATATAATGTTGAATTTACAGACTCTAAGAGTTGCTGTCAACTGGTGAAAAATCTGACCATGCAGAATTTGAAGAAACAGGTCTTTAGCAGTTCGTTGCTATTTGGGGAATTGCCATAATGGAGGTACTAAGTCAGGCAGGTAATAGAAGTCATAATAGTTTCACGGTGTAAAAAAATTATTGGAAACAAACCTTTAGGTGGAAATTGCAAAGTAAGAGAAGCAGCAGACAACAATGGAACAATGGCTATTCAGAGCACAAACACACTCGAATTAATTGCTCATGGCATTCTTGCCACTTTATGTGTTTATGATGATGACTAAGAAAACTTTTTAGTATTCTCTTTAAGAGTCATCCAAAGCTAAAGCTGCAATGGTTAAACAACGACATCACAACTCATTAGAATATCATTAGCATATCACATGATTACAGAGTCAGCTTCTCACTGTTTACACAAATGTGGAAAAATTGTGTTACATCTTTAACTATGATATATTGTATATTTGTATTTGCATATATAATTAAAAAGAAACTGTCAAAGTATAATGTGACTGAACTGAAAACAAGGAATACACTACATTTTCTATTTAAAAAAATGAAAAATTTATTTGAAACAAAATTCTTTTGCATTACATAAAAACACAAATGAGATTTAAATTTTTGTCATATTTTGGTCCAATTTCAGTACAAACATCATTAAAATTAGACAAATTTACATGAGAAGCCGAATTGCATAAGATATTAAAACTCATGTTTATTGAATATATCTAAAATTCAACTTTTTTTTTTGACCCCACTGACATTTTTCCCTCTTATTGTAAACACAAATGTAACAAAATTCAGGGATATATATAGACATGCATATTATGTGTATAACTGAGTGGGACATTGTGCACTGTAAGCTCCCTTGTGAGCTCCCTTACCTTCAGTTTCTTCACATTCACACAGGGATCATTAGAGAAACTCTCAGTGTCTGCAATCTGGATGTCTGCCTTCTCCAGCTCATTGGTCAAATCATTCCGCACCTGTCAGAGAGAGAGAGAGAATGAGTGAGAGAGGGAACTAGAAATGAAAGAGAACTGAATGAAAGCAGAGTTTGTGGATGGCAAACCACCCAGAAAAGTACCCAATCAAAGGCAGCACTCCCTTGCTCTGATACATGTCTCAATTCACTCTAATCTCCTGCCAATCTGACGTTCCCCCTGCATCCCAATCAGCCTGGAGCATCCGTGGAACTCTTTCCTCCAGAGGTCCCACTGGGCTTTGGATAAAACACGACTCCAACCAGCTTTGCTCCCCACAGACTTAATCCATCCTTGTCCATGGATGCTTTTGAAAAATGGACCAGTTCCTTGTAAATAAAGTCTCAATACCTCCCGCCCTCGACAAAGATTTATGGTGTGAGAATCAAAGCATATACTATATTGAGCTCCGGTGTATTGTGTAATACAAAGGGTGTTCACAAAGGGTTCATACTCTCAAATCTATCACTCCAAAAATTCCAACCCATTGACAAAACATTTGGGTCACACATATCACCCAGAAATTCAATTGAACATGGGCCAAAATCAAAATATGCTGTGCTGTTAAAGATCACAATTATAGTATGGTACATTGTAAAACACTCTCAGAGAAGCTTCATCTTTAAACTCATTCTTTCAAATGCAGTTATACTCATTAAGATGGACATCTTTGCCTGTTGCGTCATGAGTTTTCTTAGCATCTCACACCATAACTACTGTTTTAAAGATGTCTTTAAAGATAAAAGTACCCAAATTAGTTTGATGTATTGGTTTTGTTCTAAATAGTGGAACTGAACCGCTATTAATGATGTATGAATTGGTCCAACTGTGTATTTATGTTTTCTCACTCATTTTCCTGACAATGTGACTGACGCACTGCAAGCAGAGAGAATTTGTATCTCATTTCCACTTGCCTTCAGCAGAAATTGACTCCCGCTTTCTTTTGAACCTCTGCATTACATTTGTGCCAAATGCATGTGTCGTTCTGTACAGGTGCTTTGGAAAAAACAAACAAACAAATTTCAAAATCCAAAGTACAAAAGTGAGGAGAGCATCAATCAAACCAATACTTTATATTATTCAGCTGTGGTTCATTGAATTGTTCAAAAGTGACAGTAAAGACATTTATAATGTTACAAAAGATTTCTATTTCAAACAAATGCTGTCCTTTTGAACTTTCACTTGAACTTTCAAAAAATCCTGAAAAAATTATATCACAGTTTCCATAAAATATTAAGCAGCACAACAGATTTCAACATGAATAATAAGAAGAGATGTTTCTTGAGCACCAAATCAGCATATTAGAAAGATTTCGGATGGATCATGTATATATTCATTAAATTTTATTTAAAATTGAAAACAGTTCTTTTAACTTGTAATAATATTTAAACATATGGTAAATAAATACATATTTAGATCTGTTTAAACATGCTTTGTAAGATGGCATTCTCTATAAGCTAACTACTTATGATCCGATCACTCGAGACGGATGTTAAAACCAGGAGTAAACAGGGCAATGTCAGATTGTGACAGAATCCTGAACTCATTCTGCCAGACATTACCTGAAAAGCCTGTCTGATCCACATTGTCTTGATTACTGATGCGGTGAGCATATTTGTAGCTTAACGCTGGCAGATCCTGGAAACCTCGTTGCACATGAGCAAGTTTGTGTGTGTGTGTGTGTGTGTGCGGCTGTACGTGCGGATCTCATGAGCATGTATACACAATACACAAGTGTATGCTTGTGTGTGAGCACAAGAGACCACCTGATGGGAAGATTTAAGCAAGAGGAAAGAGAGACAGAAAGAGAAAGAGAAAGAGACAGAGAGGCACGGGTGGGTGCTGTGCAGTAAAGGACCTCTAAAGGATTATGGGATTTGAGAGCTGTCCTAAAGCTGAGGAGAAATGAGCATGATGTGATGTGAAATGCATAATGCATTTATGAACTGACCTGTCAAATATACAGAGAGAAAAAAGGTAAACAGGAAGCCGCATGAATCAGGTAGAGAGACACAAGAGCACAACACTGGGTGTCAAGAAGCTCTGCGGGCTAATTTACCATAAACACAGACATTATTCTCCATCTCACTCGGATACGCAAAACCACCTAGGCATACTGGCCGAATGCCCACACTTTAATGTTTCAAAAGAAGACCATTGTCCAGTTTTCACTACCTATATATATATATATATATATATATACTGTATATGTTTTTTTTTATTAATTTGAGTTAAGAGGCTAAGAGGTTGTACGTAAAGAGGAACCCTGAAACATTAGTGACCAAATACATTTTGGGACAACTGCACTGTAAAGACTGAAATGATATTCAGAAAATGTATATATATATATATATAAATAAATAAAATTTCGCATTTAATTCAACATGTTACTTGCCATTTTTTTGTAATTATGAAATTTACTAGCAATTTCTGAGTGAAAACTGTTTCTACACCAATTTTTTTCCAATGCAGTGTTGCTATTGTTCTCTAAACAGTATAAACTATTAAATTGGTTTCTGTTAATTGAAATAAAGCTGAAATAGAATAAAACTTGTAAAATCAGAAATGTTGTATTGGCAACTAACTGAAATAAAATAAGTTGAAGTTGAAGTACTAAAATCACTCAAATTAAAACTGAAATCAAAATAAAGCAAATAGAACATAAAAAAACAAGAATGACAAAAACTGACAAAAAAAGCACAACAGAATTACAAAAACAAACTAAAATAAAAATGAAAACTGAAAATCTACAATATATATATATATATATAAATTCTAAATATTAATAAATACTATAATATTAGTACACAAATAATACTAAATTAAAACTAATAATGCTATTTTTTTTGTAAATTTAATTAATTGGCATTAGCTTTAGCCTCATCATTAGCGGAACTCCCCACTTTGCAAAAGTGATCCTTTTCTTTGCATCACATGTCCAGCAGTCATCATGACAACAAGCAGTAATGCGTGGGTCACAACTTGTGTCACTTCCTTATTTTCCCCTCTTTTTCTAAACCCACAGCAGTCCATCATCAGCAACATTTTCAGCGCTGCTCAGGTCCCCGTGCGGCAGAGCACCGTGAGTCTGTGATTGGCTGCATTTGGAGAAATATAGGAAGGTGTGTGAGTGTCAGCCGATATCTTCTCTCTGATGCTGACGGCACAATGAGGTCTGACAGAGGACAGTGCCCTCATAATGTGACCCACCACTGACAAATTTCATCTGTTTTTGGGCACTGAGAGCACATGCTAATATTATTTCAACTTAGAAGAGCTGTTCAGAGATTCATTTTTAATTGAGCTGTTTTTAAAGGTTTACTTTTTATGATTTTGAATTGTGTTAATAAACTAGATTTTTACACACATGCTATAATTATTTGTCAGGATGTTACTATTGTCACGGTTCTGTTCTGTTCTTGGACTTTGAGTTTGTTTTCATTTATCCCACGTGTTCCTGTGACCTAGTTTTTCTTAGTTGCCTTGATTAGTTTATTCTGTTCACCTGTGTTCGTTAATCCTCTCATTAGTTCCCTTGTTTAGTTTCTGTATAATTTCTCCCTGTTCTGTTCAGTCCTTTGCCGGTTATTGATTGATGTTAGATGCTGGTTGTGCTGCATTTTCCCTGAATTTCTCCAGTGTTTCTTCTGTGGATTAATTAAAGGACTGTTATTTGGAATTCTCCGTCGTCTTGTTGTCTTGTGCTCCTTACAGCACTAACACGTGACAGCTATGGGGTTGCTAAAATATTTAGAGTGCTTTTTAGTGTATTGATAAAGTTTATGAATGGTTTTGTGGTTGCTAGGGTGTTCTAGGTGGTTGCTAGGATGCTCTGAGTGGTTGCTATGCTGTTTCTTCTGATTGTCACAATTGCGAGAATAAGACGAGGTTTCTTTGAATGACTGTGGAATCATCTCAGTTTCTGTGAGAAAACAAGAAACTGCCAAATGTATTTTCAAGGTTGTAAAAGATAATATTATTAAGATATTAATTAAATATGTTTAAAAAATAATTGTAAACACAAAACTAAAGACTGGTAAAGAAAAGTAAGCGTAATTATTTTATGCAATAATTTTATTTTAATATTAAGAAATATAAAGCTGTATTTTATAAAAATTATTGTATACACACACACACACACACAAACATACATATATATATATACATACATACAAGTACATACACAAACAAATAGAAGTAAATTATTTATAATTATCTGCTTGTTCTATAAAGTACTTATTATTTTTAACACCACACTTAATATTTTTCTCTCAGTATACATGGTTGATGTTCATAAAATTATGTTAATATATTATATTAAATCCGTCATTATATTTTAGGATCAAAAAGTTCAAAAACTCTAATTATAACAGCTAATTATAACCCCACCTCACCATAATAAATATTTCAAATTTTACCTTTGAGGACATTCCCAAGGTGAGCATCTGGGGACAGTTTTATCCCTAAAGTATATCTAAGTAAACATACATACACAGTTTTCTCTGAAAACCTGGACCCTTGAAACAAGCAAAGACAAGAAAAGAGGCCCTTGATGGCTAAATACAGATGTCCTATGTGCACTAATCTTTGTCCATGTGTTATTTTTGTATTGAAATATTCCCAGCAGCCTCATGCACCTGTGTTCTGGGGGACAGATGTGAGAGAAAGACACATTCAGCCTGATGTAACTGTGGACAAGTCTATACTGGATTGTGCAGTATCATCGGGATTCCCACGTCCTCCAGGAGCAGAGAAAGCATCGGGATAGGACAGATACAATGCAGGCAAAGAGCGAGAGAAAGCCGAAGCATTTAATGCACCGCTGCAGCCGAGGGGACATATGCATCTATTTATAGCACAGGTTTTAATGAGCCTTTAAACTGAAACAGAAGCGAACAGGCACAAAGAACAACACAATGGCCAACGAATGCACGCACACGAGCTGATGCGCACAGATAGGACTGCCCATGAGGTCCAATCTGTGAAAGGAGGATTGGATGACTTGTGCTTGGATCATCTCCTTAGGGAATGCAATTAGCTAGGCTGAGCCAGCCGATTTTGCTTGTGTTGTCTGAATGTTTAATCAGTGATCAAACAAGCAGAAACTTCATTATACACACACATATACACACAAACATGTACACCTGAATAGAGCCCCATTACTGAAGCTGCTGGAGAGTGTCCAATAGGTCACTAATGGAGCACCTTGGTGTAAAACAGGACAGTGCATGTACAGTAGAGAAAAACATATGGTGACCTGCTTTAAAATCTCACTTTCTCATTTTGTTTTCACACATTTAGAGGGAGAGAGGACTGTGAAAGAGATGAAGATCTATCTACCTATCTAAAAATTACAGGTATATGTCAACAAATATTATTATAATATAATATGCATATTATAAATGTATATATTAATCAGCATTTTTCCTTATTTCATATTTTTAGATATAAGATAAAGGAGGCTTTTTCCTGGTATTACTACTCCAGACAGATGGACAGACGTACGGACAACTGGATGGATAGAGAGACAGACAGACAGACAGACAGACACCTGCTTTAAAATCTCACTTTCTCATTTTGTTTTCACACATTTAGAGGGAGAGAGGACTGTGAAAGAGATGAAGATCTATCTACCTATCTAAAAATTACAGGTATATGTCAACAAATATTATTATAATATAATATGCATATTATAAATGTATATATTAATCAGCATTTTTCCTTATTTCATATTTTTAGATATAAGATAAAGGAGGCTTTTTCCTGGTATTACTACTCCAGACAGATGGACAGACGTACGGACAACTGGATGGATAGAGAGACAGACAGACAGACAGACAGACAGACAGACAGACAGACAGATAGACAGACAGATAGACAGATAGATATTTTTACAGATGTGATTTATTCAGTTAAATGATTCAAACCCAACCTCACGTCAGTGTAAACTGAGTAATAGGGAGTATATTGATATGAGAGCTGGACTGCGAGAGGAAAACGGTGCCCTCAACACCTCACAGACACTTACTGTAGATGCATAGCAATTTATGTGTAGACACATACAAACACACAAATGCACACACACACACACAATCCTACTCAAAGTGCGAGGACTGACAAATGGGTTTAATTCCTCATCGGGGCCCAAGTCATCTAATCTTTTACCACATAAAAAAGGGGATTGGGTCTTAATCTGTAAAACAGCATACTGGAGTGTGATTCATGCTGGAGTGTGAACAGCCCTTAATCCACTTATTGATAGACACTCAGGCAAAACACTGACAGCCTCCTGCAATGTGTCAGATATCAAGCAGCAGACAGGACAGGTGCTAAATTACTTCACTAGAACAAGCAGAATGAGGGCTGAGATAGAAACCCAGAGCATTCATGCACACAACACACACACATGAAAACCTCTTTGTTTATTCTAAGTATTAAAGGAAGGATTCCCATATATGCAATTAGACTGAGACACTTTTGAGAAAAATATTATTAATTCTCAGTGAAACCAGCAACCCCCAGTCAACCCAAGTCTCCAGGAAAAGGCCAGCAAGTGAGGTTCTAGATCCGCACCTCCTAGTTTGTGTGACACAACAGATGCACCTCCTCCTGAAATGTCACATCACACAGCGCGGGCAGCTATCCTGCGGTACAGCACCGCTGAGGGTGAGAGAGCGTGACACCGGCATGCTAATCAGGCTTCCAGTGCCCTCCTCAGGCAGGCTGATGACGGGATCGAGCTTTTCCTCTGTGCCTGTTCAGCAACTCCATCCAGAGGCAAAGATAAAGGGATTTACACCTTCCACAACTCTCACTGGAGCTCCTTACCTCTCCAAAGGCAGGAGCACAACTCTGTTCAGCCATTCAGATACAGAGTATCTGTGTGAATGTTTGCTTAATTTATTTATTTACTGAATCTTTAGACATACAGCATAACTTTACCTGCCGTTATTTTTTTAAATAAAAATGTTCAGTTTTTAAATCATATTATCACTAAAATGTTCTATTACAAATTAGCGAATACAAATTAGCCATTATATTTCTTTCTTTAAAAAAATAAAGATTATGACATTACCACTCACTCTACATCTGTCCTCAAACCATAACATGCTTCATAGAGATTAAATATATATATTAAACTTTTGAAAAGCATGTATCTTTTAAACTCTACCACAATGTGCTGACAAAAGGAAGAGATTAAAAAAAAAATTTGCATATAAGGTATCACAGATATAACAATTGCTTTAAGGCCCTGTTCACACGAATTATTTTTAAAACCGCAGCTTTTTCTACGCGGTTAGGCCGTTCGTCCACATGCAAATGCAGCACCAGTTCACTGAAACCGAACATTTTTGAAAACGCCTGCCAGGGTGAAGATTTTCAAAAACTCCGGTTGCAGTGTTATCGTGTAGACAGCGAAACCGGAGTTTTTGGCTTGTGACGTCGGCACCTGCGCTGGTATCTCCGCCTACTGGAGACTTTTTCAGGCTTCTGATTGGCCAACATGGCTTCACGGTTGAGATTATATCGCCACCTGTTGGTTTGGCATGCTCTTGACAGTGCTTCATAGCATGCGTTTGCGTTTTCATGTGGACGGAGATTTGTTTTTAAATGGAAGAAGAAAAAACTCCATTTATAAAAATACCCGTGTACGTGTGGTCATGGCCTAAGAGAAACCTGGCTTCCCCTAAAATTAATAAAAAATGTGACAATGCAATTTATTTAGGCTACAGCATGTATGAATACATATTGCCTGTCACTCTTAGTGCATTTCAGTATTTTAGCAAATAAAAGTGTAAATAATATCACACAGAGCATACAGTTCTTTAAGCTTCTGGAAGCACTGGGAGTCTAAGAGAATAGAAGTGCTATTTGCATTTGTAAAAAAATATATTCTTCAGTAGACATTAATTTTCCAATAAAGTGCTTTAAATCACTATATTTTTGACCCACCTGGAAAGCAATTACCTTGCATATTTCCATTTCCATGCCAAATATTTTAAAAACACAATTCAGTCAATAATTTACAGTCGTGTCCTTGCTTTTTTATCAGATATTCATGAAAATATAAAAAAAATGAGCTAAACTCAAAGTCAGCCTTCATCTTGAACATCCTCTTTTCATAAATCACCTGCTATTTTCTGTCACAACCACAACATGTCAGTTTTGACATACGAATTGTCATTTTTTTTAAGATAAGTAATTTTTTGTAAATAATATATTGGTGTGAACTGACAACAAAATTCTATTCAGTTTTTGACCTAGTAAACAATTAATTTCAGCTTGAAACATAGCCCACTGTAGGTTTTTTTCCACATAAGTTTCTATCAGCAACAAACCTGCAGTGTTAGCGTTATAGATCTCAAAGCAGCAGGATTTGCTAGCACTAGCAGTCCCACAGATCTATGACTACGTGGATCTGTAATGATGATCCAGGTTTTAGATCTATCACCTGAGGAATACTTTGAACTCTGACAGCAAATGGTTGCTATGGAGCGATCGTGTGAGAAAGAGATGCTAATATCTCTCTGCCCCTGGAGGATTTCTGCTACGTGTCCCATTGGAGGAAGGAATTTCCAGACGCTTACAATAAACACAAACACACACGACACCATTCCTGATCTTGTTATATATAAATGTCTCAACCAATCAATTCAATCTACCTCTATCTCAGTCACTAAAATTAGATCGAAAAGGGGAACCACAGGGGAACCTTACTGTGTCTATTCATACGAAATACAAACAGAAGGAAAATGATACACACCCACACTTAAACAGAAAACAACAGGCCTTATGTTTCTGAGAAGTACTCTTCCAAAAAGTGGTATGCAGGTGAAGCTGGTTATCTGGAGCAAGATAATATCTCATGCTACAATACTTCATTTTCCCAGTGAAAAGTGATCAGTTAAAGGAATATTTCAATTTCAATGCAAGTAAAGCTCAATGAACAATATTTTAATTGTGAATACCACAGATTTCCTCTCACATATTCCTACCACTATATATATATATATATATATATATATATATATATATATTTGAGCTACAAAGTTGTTCCTAAGTATTTTAACATTTACGGATTGGCCCCATTCACTTCCATTTTGCTAAATTCACTCATTTTCATTTTTCGTTTAGTCACTCCAAGTGCTTCAATATTCTGAAATATTCCTTCAAATAAATAAGGACCAAAAACATAATATCTACTCATCTACTCTCTAAAAAATATTTTCTTAACATTAGTTTAAGAACTGAGTCACAATATTGTGATTCAAGATACATCCATAAAGAGGGCAGGTTATTTTTCTCAACATACCTCAGAAAAGCGCTGGACATCCTGGGTCAGGGTTCCCACTCGGCTCCAGTTGTAATAGTTGAGAAACTTCACCACAGCGGGGTTCACAGCATTGTCTGATGGGACGGTCCTGAAGAAATTTGGATACTTTTTCCTGTCTGCCAGGACAGGAGTTGTGGCTGCAAAAGAAAGCTGTAAAAGAAGAAGAGAGTACAACTAAAAAAGGTCCTTTTAAGATAAATTAATTCAGTGGCCATTTTTGGTTATTTTCTATGTATTACATAGCTCTTAATCTGCTTGAATAAGACCAAAATCTCCAAAACTCTTAAAACTCTTGTCTTATTAAGTTTAATAAAGCACTATGGCGTAATTGGACTGAGATTGTGTTCACCTTCTACTTTTTGCTATTTGAGCAGCATGCTGGATCGAAGGCAAGTGGCCGCCCATAGCCAGTGTGCCAGGACTCCAGGAGCCTACAGTGTAGGTGTGAACGAATCAACATACAAACACGTCTCAATAAAAAGACAGCTCTCACACCTTTGGTGAGTACCAGTGGTGACTGGAGCCATGAACGTTTGCAGTTTTGCACTGATGGTCAACCTCAGCATATCAGCTTGTAGATGTATGTGTTGTATTAAGATGCATTATAGAACATTAAAATTTGTGTTTGTTCTCCATAGTGGTCAACAGTAAGATCTGTATTTGCCCTGCCAATGTATTTACCAGACACAACACAAAAATATAATATTTAATTATAATATTTAATTATTAATATTACTGTGCATTTTATTTTTAGAAAGATATTTGCAATATTTTAGCAGCATTAATAAGAATCAGAAAAAATATAATAATTTTTGATAAAAAATTTAAATCTTTATATATATATATATATATATATATATATATAAACAATGCAATACTCTGTACACCAATACAAACACTACCAATTTTGCCAAAACCTTTTTCATTGGTGATGTGCATAATTCAAAAGACAATGTTTAAAACATCACAAAAACCAAATGTTTACATTTGCAAGGCATAAAATCATGTACATGATCAGCAAATCATTGGGCCGTAAGAACATTTTTTCAAGTGAATGGCCTGAAACTCTTTTACACTTCTTAATTGTTGAGTCCTGCTTCATCTAACTCTCCTCTGCCTCAAGAAACATAAATGTTAATAGGATCCTTTTAAAAACGCCTCTATGTACTGTTCAAATATTGCATGCTAAGCATGTTTATATCTTTTCAGGCTTTCAAAAAGAGACAGTTTAAAAGAGGCTTCACACTTTTGAAGACTCTTTAATGTTGTCAAACACCAGGCAGAGCATTTTAAGTCTCAGCTAGAGCGAAAAACAAGCCTGGAACATCATGGTATGATTTTTATGCCAGTGCTCCTGTCAGTAGATTAACAAATGTTCCTCCGGTTATAATACATCCTGAGGGTTGTTAGTCTCTCAAGAGATAAACATATGGAAATGCTTTGAGTTCAAATAGGAAAAGCCGTCTTATACTTGTTAGCACACTCTTTGCTTACAGTCATAAAATGTCTGTCGGCTACGTGGTTGCACATTCAATTCGATGAAATATTTATTGCAAGGCAAAAAAAATCTCAACTAAATAGTGAATGGAAATGTAATCTTTCAAAAGTTGTATGCTGATGTTTTTGTGAAAATTTATATGGATGGCTTGTTGAATGTGCAGGTGATTTAAGCAGCAATTTACATATAGTACTAACAGAGTAAACTGCATTTCCAGAGCACAAGGAAGCACCTCTATAAAAATGTGACAAGTTCTATTCAGCTCTGGTCTACATCAGGGTTTCCCCCCTAAATGAACTCGGAATAGGACCTTCCTTTGCTCAGGATTGGATCAACTAAATTACTTTTCCTGTGAATAGAATTGCGGGTGAAATGGAATTGATTTTGCTCTGTAGTGTGCAGTGGCCATGACCCCTGACCTCTCATCTCGTCTCATTTGAGGCCCCTCTGGTGAATAAAATGGTGACGTAATCACAAACACAGAGCTGTATGGATCATGGTCTGAATCCAGCCTGTTAGGTCTACTTTCCAATACATCAAGAAGATTCAGGCCCCATCCCGAAACCTAGTCAAGTCAAATTTATTTTCATAGCGCTTTTCACAATACACATTGTTTCAAAGCAGCTTTACAGAAAATCATGATGTTAGTGTTTATAATATCTTAATACTGTATCTTCATGCTTTATAGTCGGATTAGCACATGGAGCTGGGCGATAATCAAGCAGTTGAGATATGTTTAGTATATATCGCCCTACATGAGTATACGGTATACATTTATGCAAATATAGTTAGACATTTTTCTATCTATCCAACTTTATAGCCGGGTGTTAATAAACAAATTGAGATTTGCTATATAGTATATATCACTTTATGTAAATTGGATATAATACATATGAGTTGATGTCTTATCCCAATACAGGCAGCACCCTAATCATCATGGACCCACATAAATGAACATTTTGCCTTCATCGTTTGACTGCAATTGCTTAATGTCACAAATAAACACTTGCTGATGTTTAAAGGGATAGTCCACCAAAAAATCCTGAAAATTCTGTCATAATTTACTTCCCCTCATGCCAAACCTGTATGACTTTGTTTCTTCTGTGCACATACGAGAAGACATTTTGATAAATGTGTGTGTTTTTTTAGTAATACAATGGAAGTCAATGGTCCCCAAAACTGTTTGGGCACCAAAATTCTTCAAAATATTGACTTTTACGTTCCACAAAAAGTAATAAAGTCATATAGTTTTGGAATGACGTGAGGGTGCGTATTGTGTAAATGATGACAGAATTGCAATTTTTGGGTGAACTATACCTTTAAATAATAATGTGTATTTACAAAGGGATTAATCCAGGCATTAATTTCACCTTGAAGTTAATGTCCTTTGACAAATTTTTACATATTTACACTGGTTGAACCCCCTTATGGATACAAGCAAGCTGAATTTGCCAAGCAGAGAAAAAAATTAATTCCTTTCCTGATCTCACAATGACGCGCTGGTGTACACACCCTGACAGCCAGAGAACTTGCGAATAACAACAGTCTAACATTTCGAAGAATTCCATTAAACCCTGTTAGCAACATTTAGACCTGTGAATATTTAGACGAGGGAACAGACAGATTTGGGTAGGATTTATTTACACTGTTATATTATATGGGAAATGTGTGAACTAAAGCTATAGCTGACAGCAGACATCAGAGCTGACATAATCACACCACCTGCTCTGTGTTTCAAGAGGAAGGAGGGTGAGCAGAACATCCATTTTTCCTTCTAACATGGGCATGAGCAAATGAAAGGGGATTGCGAGGGATTGAAGTTATTGATGGAGAGTTATTGATGTTAATCAACGTAGGGTTAATTGCAGTGCTGAAAAGATAAGACATTAGGATTCCTGATAATGACACAGATTAGTAGTCTGTGATTCTCTTTGAAGCCAAGTGTGCATTAACTCACAGACAGACACTATCTAGATTGGTCTGGTTTGGCCTTTTCAGACCTGCCTCAAAAAAGTAATTTCTTCACTGACAATTTTGAAAGAATAAGCCAATCTCAGAAGAGTGATGTTACACCTGTTGAATGTGTCAAAGCTAGTACATTCAATTAAAAAGACTCGAGATGTTCACCTTAAAATTACAATGCTATCATCACTGAGTTACTCTCATGTTGTTTCTTTCCTGTGTGGAACACAAAACATAATTTGAAAAATGTCTGAATGGTTTTTTTTTAAAGAAAAATGACTTTATTTACATGGCCAAAACAGTCATTGTATGGAAAACAACTTGGTCATTCTGCCAAATAACTTTTGTATTCCACAGAATAGAAATATATTGTGATAAATGGCCAAATTCTTATTCATCCCTAAAGTATGACATACTGGGTGAATACATCTACATTGTGCCGCTTTTGACAAATGTCAAAAAGTCAATCAATTCAATATTAGGAAATCACTAGTTTAAAGTCTAAAGTCAGTACAATTTTTAAAATAAATAAATACTTGTATTCAGCAAGGATACATTAAATTGAGGTAGAGATGCACCGATACGGTATTTCCCAGCCGAAACGGATTTATTATTCAGAATGATATCTGCCGATGCCAATACCAATAGTTTGCTTTTCTTAAGGAAAAAATCTCTCCTAACCGATGCTGTTAACTACGCAGGGAACCCTATCATTTGGCACATTACTATAATATTAAACGTTAAAATTAACAACAGAGCGATTATATTCAACTGCTATTTATTTTCAGATATCATAATTACACTCAAATAAAAATTTAAATGTCTGTTTACAACTCATTTGCACAGTCTTCATAAATACCTGTCTTCATGCAGGGTTGCCAGGTTTTCACAACAACTACCCTACCCTACCCTACTAAACTAGCCCAATCGTGTTCCGGAGGGTAAAATATACGTAAAATACATATTTTGGCAGGGATGCCCTGGTAAAATTTGCATTCCAGGGTCTAAATATCACATTATTGGGGTTGCTTCAACCCACAGACATGAAAAACAACCCACGGCAACAGTGTTAAAGTAGCCCAATTCCGCGGGAAAACCACAACTGGATTTGGCAACATTGTCTTCATGCCATATTTATTCAAACATACATATAATTATGAGTAAAAAAGCTCCTCTTTGGTGTTGTTTTATAGCTTAATGAACTTAGAACAGTGGATAAATTTGCCAAGGTAAATGCCACGTTAAATGACATACTGTTCACAAACTGTTTTATTTGCGTCTTTCCGCGGTTGAAACACTGATTGAAAGATTACATTAGACATGTTACATTTTGGTAAGCTATACTGCAGCTTTCAACATACCTTCTGATGTTCATTCATGTTTATTTTGAGCTATAACATATTGGTGAGCACAAAAACATTACAAATCCTTATCGACCACAAACTTATGAATTTGAATGTGTTGGTTTTTAAACAAATGAGAGATCAATCACTTCAATATCTAACAAACCTAATAGGCAATTTGTACTTATGCAGAATATTAACAAATTTACAGCCTTTATCGGTGTAATCCTGCTTTCACATCAATGGCCAACTCCAAAATAACAGTCATGCCACATCACCCCGTCACTCATCTCAGCTCACTGAAGTGTTTGTTGCTCAAAACACACAGATTAGTGCTGCCAATTAAG